TTTATTAACATGTTAACAATGACAGTTTTAAATACTGTTGTTTATTTAAATATGTTTATTTAATAAATTATATCTTCTGTTAATATTTCATACGTGAATATAAGCCTTATGAACAAAGCGTATTTCTTATTTCCTTCTACTGATTTAAAAATTTGCACATCGATCATTGTGGTGGGCCCGAAAAATTATTAGCACGCCCCTGAAAATCTCTCCGTACTGTCGACTGTGTTGCCATGTTTCAATAGTCGAAGTGTGTATCATAACCCATTTTCGGAATTTTGCATGGCTTTTTCATTAATAACTCGATAAAGAGTTCGTGAATCGTTATCAATTTTTTTTAGAAACGTTGCTCACTATTTTATTTACTCACAAACAAAGTTTCAGAATATTGGCAATGCTGTTTCCATTTAATTTCGTTTATATAAGTATAGGAATATGCTGCTTCTTCATAAGAACTCATGCAAAATTAAAAGTGGAATAACTCATGAACCGGTTAGAGAATCGGCTTCAGGTTTTGCACACGTGTACAGATAATAAATAGAAACAATCTATTAAAGTTTCAGGGTATTGTCAATGTTAGATGTTAGCACCAGTACATCCTTAATACAGTCGTAAATATTATTAAAACAAATCTAATGGCGACTTACTTTATTAGCCTTTTTAGCCTCTTCGATATAATGCGTCGTGATCAATACGGTGGTGCCTTCCTCCTGTGTTTGTTTGATCAGATAAGCCCAAATGCTGTAAAAAAGACCGTCCAAACATTTTCTTAATATTTTGTGCTTATCACGTCTAAAAAAGGAGCCAATTCTACTTGCTTTTCTCTCAAAATTGGGTCCAAACCTACGGTGGGTTCATCGAGAATTAGAAGTTCGGGCTTATGCATCAATGCGGCGACAAAGGAAACCCTTCTTCGTTGACCTCCACTCATGTTCTTCACCAACTGATTTGATGGAGGCAGTTGGAACAATTCCGAGAAAAACCTATGTCTCGTTTCTTGGAAATAACATGGATAAACTGTGGTTGTTTCAAATTGACATAGTAGAATATCTTTCGAGCAAGACAAAGTTAGAACCGCTTGAAAGACTTACTTGAAAGTAAAAGTAAAACTTGTCAGAATTTACATGATATTTCGCGCGCAACAACTACAAGTTTTCTTATCCCATCTATTCGGTATCTTACCGATCTCTTTATCGTCAAGCCCATTGATCCTGCCGAAGTAATGAAGAGCATCGCTCGTAGAAAATAGTTCGACTAAAGAGGTATCCTGCGGCATATAACCCACCCGAGGCCCTGGAATTCCGCAGCCCATACTGCCCGGAGATCCCCCCAAGACACACACCACTCCACTATCGAGATCATGTACTCCGACAATGCAGGACAACAGGGTAGTCTTGCCACATCCGCTGGCCCCCAACAGCGCGTATCTGTTTGATGAAAATATTTCGTTTACGAGATACTGCTTGGACCTATGTAAATTTTATATATGTTACATTACACAACAATTTTTAATAATTGGAATACTATTGCAACAGCAAAATCCTGAGACTAAATCAAGTAAAAAAGTCCTGTACTACTTTTCCCTCCGACAAACAGTTATTGAAATAGCATAAGCTAAATATTTAAAAAGTTATAAATTTTCTCCTGAATATCTAAAAAAGTATTAAGCAAATAAAAAAATGCTTCAGACAAAAGTTGTTCGAATTAATTAGTAGAATAAGTTAGTATATTAAACCATAGGGATTTTATTTAAAAAATTGAAGATGATTTTCACGTAATCTTCAAGCAAGTATTCAAGGTTAAATTCATAACACTATCTTATTTCCCCCTCGAAACCCAACAACTTTTGCTGAGGTCATTTTTTGCTAGCCTCCTTCCCCAAAGATTATATTTGCGTGGATCATTTAAAATGTCACACCCTGTATACCATTCCCCAAAGAGGTTCCTATTTTGCAAACGATGACAATTTAAGCAATTGATGAAGGTACGTGTGAAAGAGCGTGATGACAGACAGTTCAGGCAACTTCTAACAAAAAATGAAGAAAGTAGTATCAATTATCCATAAAAGACATGTTAGATGTAGGTTCAGGTTTGTGGAATAATATTTAAATTTGCACAAATAGTCTCAAGTATTAATAAATAGCAATGCAATCTTCACTGCATTGGTTTCTTTCTTATAGCGAGCATCTTCTTTTGATAAACTCAGGATATTTACGTGCAACCTTATTCGTCTAAACGGAAATTTATAGGAAGGCGAATAATGTTTTGTATATTGACAAGACAAGGAATGATTACATACATGGAACCGTTTGAAACCGTCATATTCAATCCGTCGAGCACCAACTCTTCTTTCCCATAACGCTTCATAGCGTTCTTTACAACCACCGTGTTGTGCTGCAACATTCTGCGTCTGCGAACTAGTAATGTGGGTTCTATCGAACTGTAACAAATGTTTTTTTTCAGGTAATTTAGATATCGTCCTTGAGCGATCAGTTTTTCAAGAAGTAGTAAGAATAGAATTTTCACTATTGATTTTAAATAGGAAAACATTTTTGGAACATTATTTTATTTTTTACTTGTAATTTATGTTATTACACGTTGGCTATTTTATTGCTTTTCGACGCACTGCCGGTACAGGTTTAAACAATGCCTTGCCTACGCCTTTTACATATTCTTTGAACGTCAATCTGTGCATTATCACTGAAAACAGTTGTAAGTATGTCACTGAATTATTCAATCCTTTGGGAAAATATATTTTTGAAGACCTTAAAATAAGTGTTTCTTTATTCAAACATCTCTTTATGTGAAAATGGCATGTAAGAATTTTCATTGCGCGATCATGCATTCCTTTGCTACTCAATGAAAATCAACGTGAACCAGTAGTTTTACGTTTTCTTTTTAGACGAATTATGCAGTTTTATAACTTAAATTGCATATTACTTATGAATAAGGAAGCTTCATATTTATTTAAATAATTAATCACAATGCACGTTTTTTAATGAAAGAACATTTATACATTCTCTAATTCGATTTATTTAATTTATGTATATAAATTTAGTTGAAAAATCATGCACAACGTTTTAGCTTACCGGCTGAACTTTATTAAAACCAACGTTTCAAGTTCTTTGCATTTTAAAATTGATATAAAACATAAACGAAAGTATACTTGCTTCTCTTTATTTCCAGGCCCTTCAACCGATTCAATTAATGACTAGAACACCGGATAAATGAAACAATATCAAGTTTTACCACGTTACATTAAGATATTCGCAAATTTTCCAACAAATGCACTTTTTTATAATTAATAATGCAACAATCGTATACGTATACGTGTTGTTTATAAAGAGAATGTATGACGTGTATATTATGTATTCTATGTGTCAGAAATCTAGAAGCTTAAAATTATTATGCGATTATTACAGACATTCTCTATGGAGCTTGTTAATAAGTAGGTACATACTTTGAATAGATAGACGTAACATTTGTTAATATTACACGATGACTGATGTGGTTTTACTCCTAGCGACTTTAAGTATATCTTTTTCTTCTTATCTGTCTGAACAGAATTTACGTAATATCTAATAAAGCATTGAAGATTGTTAACTCTTCTGTTTTACAATTTAAATGAAACATCGTTTTGCGTATGGGTATTTTCCGCTTCTTTAACTGTATGTATATATACAGGGTGTTATGTAATACCCGCATCAATTGTGGGATAGAGTGGACTAGACTAACAATAAGTCGAAAAGTCCTGTACCACTTTGCAGGTTTTGCAATAGTTAACGAGTTATTAATTATTAATAATCGCTGTCTTAGGCCGGCCCACTGCCCAATTCAAACGTGCGGCGAGATCGATCGATCGTTACAACTCTCTGCGCGCCTAGTAACGATCGATCGATCTCGCTGCACGTTTGAATTGGGCAGTGGGCCGGCCTAAGACAGCGATTTTTAATAATTAATAACTCGTTAATTATTGCAAAACCTGCAAAGTGGTACAGGACTTTTCGACTTACAAGGACCGTTTCAAAGTGTCCCCCTCCGATTTGGATGAGCTTTG